GGGGGGATAAAAGACATGAGCAACTGTTGAACAGCCGTTGATGTCCCACTGACTCGAGATCGATGAGGTTTGGATGGATGATGGATGGATGATGTACATGGCTGGATGTTGTTGGATGAATGCATGAGGGATGTACAGTCGGCGCGACTGACCCTGCTTTCATCCGTGTCCCTGCTGTGTGGGGGGGGGGGGGGGGGGGGGGGGGGGGGATAAAAGACATGAGCAACTGTTGAACAGCCGTTGATGTCCCACTGACTCGAGATCGATGAGGTTTGGATGGATGATGGATGGATGATGTACATGGCTGGATGTTGTTGGATGAATGCATGAGGGATGTACAGTCGGCGCGACTGACCCTGCTTTCATCCGTGTCCCTGCTGTGTCTCCCGCCCATCAGCGGCGAGTGCGCGTTGGGTCTCACCACCACCTGAGGCGGTCCCGTCAGGCCGCCGCCCACGTCGCCGCAGTCGACTCTGCCGATGACGCCCGCCTTCCCCGGCGAACCTGACACGCGCACAGCCTTGAACTCGATGCCTTCTGCGCCCATTCCCGTCTTGCGCAGCATGTAGCTGGTCTCCGTGATGGCCGACACGGCCATGACGCCCGCGACCCCCCCGGGCGCAGCCCCCGCCGAGTCCTTTCGAAACTGGATCTTCTTCCGAAAGATGACAAAGAGGATGAGGAGCAGGATGATGACAAAGGCCAGGACGCCGATGCCGATGATTTCGCCGGGACCGACGTATGACAGTGGCTCCGCCTGCGGACACATCCGCACACGTTAATGACAGTTGGCACTGATGATTGACGGTTGGCAGGGATGACTGTCACCTGTTACAGATCTTCAGATGCTAATTGTAATTTATGTTGGATCATACTGACAACGGTTGCTAATATCTGCCACATGAAATATTATAACAGCAGTCAGTTCTGAATTTGATATCTTAATATCATTTTTTTTCCCTTAAAGACATGCTTTTAATAAAAAATATATATATATTTTACATCCAGGTCTACACTATCAGTGTGGATGGCGGGGTTTATACGTTCGCACCTGGGTGTCGTCGTCTACGTAGCCGTCACCCGCCCCGCCGCAGGTCCCGTCCTCGTCTCCCATTGTGCAGTTGCAGTAGAAGGATCCCGGCGTGTTGACGCACTCGCCGCCATTTCCGCAGTCAGCGTGCTCGCACTCGTCCACGTCTTCGTCACATCTGGCAAAGCAACGGTCATTTTTATCAAAGAATTTATTCAGGGTTAAAAGTGTCTCTCCGTTTCCCACACGCGCGGGCATAACAACAGTGAGAACGTTAAACCCCCTTGTGTCCACCATAAAAAAAAAAAAAAAATTGTAAAAAAAGAGGGGGGGAGCGGAATTGATTTCCAGCGGTGGGACGTTAGTGTGGAAGAGGGTATAAACAAATGAAAATATTGTGATTCATTTAACAATAACAGCGTGTGCATTGTAGATGAATTCAAGTTTAAGACTCTTTTAGCGAGGGCGCGCTCGGTGGTGGTCTGCCCGACCGCCCGCTGACGCACATGCACGCTCCCGCTTTGAAACGCGGCCCCCTGCCGTCAGCCCCCGAGCGAGACTCCACCGTTTTCTCCTCATTTGTGATGACTTGCATCACGCACACACTCCGCTGTCTTCGTTCTCATGAGCATAGCACAGCGCTCCTTGTTCCTCTTTATGATTATGATATTTGTTTGATATTTGGTTGTGCTACACGACACATGTGCAGCAACACTTGGAAATGTGATCACGCTGAATAATATCCGCTGAGTGAGCGTTTACGCCTGATTATTATGCAGTGATCAAAAGCTGTGGCCTCAGAACAATTAAAAATCCCTCTGAAAAACGCTTATTAGACATTTAAGCCCTTGCTCTCATCAAATACAATTATTTGCACTTCAGTTTTATATTATTTTAAAATTTTTTTATGATTCAGTGAAGAAAACGTATTTGTTATTTACAGTTTTTGCTGATGGGAACAGGTGATCTTGGTACTTGTTTTTATCCTCGGAATTATTTAGAGTGGATGTTTAATTGTTTTTCCTGGAATTGTGAAATTTATTTGTACGGCGATCCGTGCAATTATTGGGGCTTGAATGATTTTGTTCATTGAAAAATAAAACTGCGTTCTTGTATATTTTTATTCAATTTTTCAAAATCACATTGTGACAGTTTTATGATTGCATATTTGTGGATTGACTCAGAAAAACATGTCCTTCATGGGGCAAAGTCAATATCGTAGGTCAAAAAAAATTAAAACATAGATTGTATATATATATTTTTTTTTGGAAAATATTTTGTGGCCATTTTATTGTATTTTTTAATTCTATATTTGTTATGATTATCAATATTTATAAATTAATACTTTTATTTATTGTGGATTGGGTGGGACAATTCATGCATTTAATGTTTGTTTTTCTTCTGCAATATTATTGAAAATTATGTCGTAATTATTGTAATTTTTTTGATGATTGGTCTTCAGATGGGGTCTTTTTTTGGGGCCAAAACTCAGGCCCTTACTCTGGTAAGTATTTAGCAGCGTCAAAACAAATTTGTAACAAATGTGTAAAAGGAGTGGTGCTACCCTCCTGTGGCGACTTTTGGTAATACCAGTCGCTCACCGAGTTGTAAACAAGACACGCCAACGCTCCACTAAGGCCAAAAGCTTTTTGATCTTACGTAAGCCCAATCAGTCCTGGTGGGCATTCGCAGACAAATCCGCTAGCGCCGCCTTCCATGGCCTGGCACTCGCCACCAGCCTGGCAGGGGTTTGGCGTGCAGGGCGTCACTGGGCTCTCGCACCGTCCCCCGGTGAAGCCAGAGATGCAAGTGCACCCGAAGCCTGTCAAACAGACAACATAACAAGCGTCATCAAATTGACATGCAGCACGATTTGTTTTGCTGGGTTCTGTGTGAAAGGCAACTAAACAGATGAATCCCTGCTTTTCTGTTCTGGCCGACGACCCAATTTTGCAGGCAAAGAGGCGAGAAGAATGCATAAATAGTGCTGGGTCTGGAAAAGACTTATTGACTGACATTGACATTTTCAAGTGTATGCAATGAGTGGGACTGACCGCCCAAGGGCAGGCTGGCACACATGGCTCCGTTGAGGCAGGGGGCGCTGACACAGGGGTCCGGGTAGAGGACGCAGCCCGGCTCCACCTCACTCAGCCCGGCGATCTCGGCGTAACGACTGCGTTTATTCAGCAGCGGCAGCTCTCTCCCATTGAGCGTCAGCCGGCCCAGGCAGCCCTGGAAGCCATCTTGGGCCCTCGCCCCTTGGCCACCCGCCGCCGGAGGCCTAACCTGCGCCCCAAAGAAGAAGGAGGATTCCGGGGCGACGGGCCAAAGGCGGACGGGGGCTCGGGCAGCTCGCCGCCGCTCCACGTAGCTGTCGTCCAATGACAGGAGGGTGTAGTTGCTGGTCAGCTCCAAGGCCACGGCGTGCCACAGCCCATCATTGATCTGACGCCCAGAGATTCCCATGATGCCGAGCGTGTTATCGCAGTCCAGCTGGAACCAAAGGCGGCCACCTTCGATCTGGAACAGAGGGATTCGGTGAACAGAGTCAAGAACCGAATAAAAAGATGAGTCAAGAACCATGTCGAGAACCCTTCACAAAGCAAGTGACCAGTCAAGAATGAATCAAATACCACTTTAAAAAAAAAGGTTTCTTGAGCTGGTTGGATCTGGAACACAGCAATGTCTTTTGCCTCGCTGTACACCCAGGACAACATTCTGTTTCAGAGACCTTTATGTTTACCTTGAGCATGGTGCACGGGTTGACTCTCGTGAACATGATGACACCACTGGTCTGCAGCGTGCGGACGCTCAGGCCCAGCTTCATCTCGCCGCCCTGACTGCTCTGACCGCTCTGACCGCTCTCAGTCACTTTGTACTTGATGTAGCTGTTACCAGAAAAACTCAGAGAGCTTCGACCTGTGTGACAAGACAAACACATACGTTGTGAAAGGCTTTCATGCGTGAACACTTGTACACTGAACAAAGAACAAAGTCAAGAATCAAGGAAAGAACCAAGTCTATCCACAACCAACCAAATCATGCGTGCCCTTGACACTGTCTTGTTTTTAAGGACTCGTTTAATAAATTAGACTTGACTTGACTTTTTGACTGGTTCTTGATTTGGGTTTTGATTGGCTCTTGAGTTGTTTTTTGACTTGTTCTTGACTTGGTTCTACTGTTGCTTGAACCCAAATTAACCCTGGCACCAGCTCGGTGTGAAAGGGGTAGATAAGTCACAAACCAAGCCAAGAACCGATTGAAGAACTCGGCTACTTGTGACATTTGCAACCTGATTCTTTTCTGTTCGGGAAGTTTAAAAAAAATTTGAACAGATTCTACCAGCGCACTCCTCCAGTCGCTCAGGTAGACACTGGCAGACAGATGGCGCCGTCGGGCCAGAGCGAACACACTGCATGTCCGCAGGACACGACTGACCTTCACACAGCTCCACGGGAGCGGGGCACGCCCCACCTGTTTGGAACATGACCAAATCACACCGCAGACAAACATTAGTTAAACTGAATGAAGGCAGATGAACATGGGGATTACTGTAGTCCACAAAAAAAAAAAAACACCACTCACGGGGGCAGGTGCAGGTCTCAATGCGTCTAAACGGCAGCGACACCAGGCTGACCCTCTCTGTGGTGTAAGTCAGTAGCGAGCCGGCCTCCATGGCCAGCATCTGCTCACACACCTTGTCGCCACACTCCAGCTCCCCGGAGCAGACGCCGCCCACCGCCACCGCTCCGGCCAGGACCCCTCGCAGCTGCCCCCTTGCCTCCCGTAGCTTGGCGGCCACCTCCTGGGGCGTGTAGAAGCCCCCCATCCGCCCCCCACCACCGGGCTTCTCCGGCCTCTCAACGGCCACGAGGAGGTCCACGTCGGACGTCCCGTCCACCGGCTGCACGCCGAGGATGTGGAGCGGGTCCTGCTGTCCGGCCGACCATTTCCAGCCCGCCAGCGCCCGCAACGTCAGCCGGATCTGGTTGAGGTAGCGGCCCAGCAGGTCCTCGGGAGACAGCGAGCGGAACCTGAGGGTGACGGCGCTACGCAGCAGGACGTCTGTCACCTGTTCCACTCGGACCGAGACGTCGGCAATCACGGCAAAGCGCCCGTCGCTCACGGTGGCATTCATTTGATACCTGACAATATAAAAAAGATCAATTGAATATGAATGTGCAAAAAATGAATAAGCACTAAGATGAACGTTTTTTTTTTTCAATTGTTTGCACGAAGTTTGAAGTACATTTTTAAACAGGACAAATAGTTTGGGTTCAATGCAGTCAAGCAACGTGTTGTCTACCTGCCCAGCTCCAGGCCCGGTAGAGCCGTCACACTTCCGTCCTGCCTGTTGATGCTAAACATGCTGTTATCCTGCGGCCTGTGGCTGAAGGACAGCGCGTCGCTGGGATCGCGGTCTGTGGCGTGGATGCGACCAATCGGGCCGCCCTGGAACGTGTCGGTCGCCGTCACCACGAAGATTTCCAGGGGAGAGACGGCAGGCTTGTACTGACTGTTCCCGATGACCCGCAGGAACACCCACGAGGACGAGATCAGAGGAGGCTGGCCGGAGTCGCTCACCTGTCGTACGAAAGGACATTCCTGAGGCCGATGGTTCTCAAATCACACAAGGTGCCACTGTTATTCCCAAAGCATTTAGGGATAGTATGAGGGGGTGCTTGGAAAAAAAAATCTCCTCATAAGTGTTCTGTGGACCCAAAAAGTTGGAGGTTTGTTGCAGGAGTGCTCAAAACATTTACAGGGCTCGACAGGGCACATAAGAAAAATATTTGTTTCTCACCTGGACCTCGAGGGTGAACTCCCGGGGGGACTCGGGGCTGAACTCACGGCTAGACCTCAGCGTTCCCGTCTGGTCCAGAGTGAAGAAATCGTCCTCATTCCCAGAAACGAGGTGGAACTCAAAGGGCGGGCCGTTTCTGGGGGAGTCTTTATCGTCGACGGACAGACGTAGCAGGACGCTGCCTGAAGCTTGGTTCAGCTGAAAATTAAAAAAAAAAAAAAAAAAAAAAACAACAAAAACGAAGATCAGTGGTGGCAAGTAAAACAAATACAATGTCTTAGCATTTATTCTTCTGTTGACGTTTTTGCTTTTACTCTCAACATAACTTTACATTCTGCTTCTCAACTCACTTCAACATAATCGCAGTCATATTTTCATCGCTTTGGCAGGAGCATAAAACAGCAACGGAAGCTTTTACCTGGACCACAGCGGTGGCGTTGGGCGGGCTGAAGACTGGTGGGTTGTCATTCACGTCGGCGACGTCCACGTTGACGGTGACGGCCGAGGACATGGCGGGCGAGCCGCTGTCGAAGGCCTGCACTGACAGAGCGTAGCGGGACACCTGTACGGGGTGTGAGAGAGAGCGAGTGAGCACATCTTTATGCATGAGACGGTACGGCCGACACGCTTCGTTACGGCCACATAATGTGAGCGCTCGCTGACCTTGCGCTGACTCAGAAAACAACTATTGATTTCCTCGTGACTTATTTTGCGCTTAAAGGTGCGTCCTCAAAATGGGTCGACACATACTGGGAATCCAGATAAATCTGGCCATTTGCCTGATTACCCGATGTCGCTAAAGATGATTCTGACCGATTATCATGGGGTGTGCGGTGTGCTAAGAGTGATTTTTGTCTCCCTACAATCAAAGTCAGCAAATCACAGTTGCTCGAAGTCTCTCAATACGATCCTGAGGGATTATCCTGTTGTGTGGGATGTGTTAAAATGGATTTTTCCTCTCTTCCGATCAAAGTCAGCAAAGGCCCGATTATCGGATGTCCCTAAAGGATGATCCTGAGTGATGATCCCATGGTGTGCATGATGTGTTAAGCGCAATTTTTCTTCGCTCCTGATTATCGGATGTCTCCAAAAGATGACTAAAGTGGTTATCCTGTGGCGTAAGATTAAAAGGGATTTTTCCTTTCTTCCGTTCAAAGTCAGCAAAGGCCTAGCTACCGGATGTCAAAAGAGCATTAAGATTGATTATCCTGTGGTGCGTGTTGCGGTTTTTCTCAGTTCCAATCAAAGTCACCAGAAGCGCGATCATCAAGTGTCTCCCAAAGATTATCCAGCGATGCATTTGATGCATTAAGAGACTTTTTTTTTTGTTTCCTCCGCCCCTATGAGCAGACGCGTGAGCATTTCTGTCCCGTCACGGTCCGCCTTACCAGCTCGCGGTCCAGACGCTTATTGACTTTCAGCAACCCTGTGACCGGGTCGATCCAGAAGTGGTTACTCCGGTCGCCTTTCAGGATGGAGTAGGTGATGCGTCCATTGACCTGACTGTCCAGGTCCTCTGCCAGCAACTTAAGACAAACACACGTCTGTTCAGTCACGGCGATTCCGGCGAACGCTGCCAACTATCGAACCAATCAGACTACCCTGGTTATGGATTGGCCGACCGGCGCGTCCTCGCTGACAAGGACGTTATAGACGTCCTGGCTGAAGGCCGGGGCGTTGTCATTGACGTCCATCAGCTGGACGGTGACCATGGTGGCAGCGCTGAGGGGCGGGCTGCCGCCATCCCAGGCCTCCACCGTCAGGTAGTAGTCCTTGCACACCTCAAAGTCCAGATCGTCGGCCACCGAGATGGAGCCTGGGAGCCAGAGGTAGGTGTAAGTTTGTGTTTGTTTCAAAGAATCCGGAGGAAAATCATCCAGGTATGGGCACAGCATGCAAAGGCCCCGTAGCCAGGTGGGAAGAGTGATCCAAGGATCCCTCTCCCCTCTGGAACTGCATCTAGATCTGAAGGTATCCGGACCGGACAGCTCACCAAGGTTCCTATCAATCGAAAACTTGTCCATCTCGTTGCCTGAGCGGATCCGGTAGGAGATCTCGGCATTGGGCCCGATGTCGGCACTGGTGGCCAGCACCCGCAGCACTTCGGTGCCCACCGCGACATCCTCGGGCACGGTGACGGTGTATTCGCGCTTCTGGAACACTGGTGCGTTGTCATTCACGTCCAGGACCAGCACGGTCAGCTCCACCTAGTGGTCGCAAGCCAGAATGAGTTCCAGGGTGTTTCAGAGTACTCAGTGAAGCTAACGCAGCAAACGCTTGTTTTGGTCAACATCAATTTGGCGTCTTTAGCGTAGCAATGAAATGTTTTTGTAAAGATTCAAGTTGTCTTTTCAAAGATGACAAGAGATTAAAGAAGTTAAAAAAAATAAAGTTATGAATGAACCAAAGCTAAATCATGATGGGGTAGATGTTAAAAATGTGTATTCTTTGCACATATTTCAATATTTTCCAAGTATTTGCACCAGCGGCTGCCAGAGAGCCACTGGCCCCTCAGCTGTCACCTCTTGTCATTTTTTTCCATCTCAGTGCTCATGTGATAAGCGCCGATCTTAATTAAAATCTACATGGCTTGTTATCGCGCCTCCTCGCAGCCCATCTCAAGATGGCCTTCTTTCAATGGGAGGCGCGTACGGGGGGAAAGGAGAACATCTATTTCCTCCGTTAATCGAAATATATATCAAGGGTCATGCCTGAGCCTTCAAGGAGCCTTTTTTTTTCCTCATTTTTTTTTACAACTTAAACCTGCTCCCAGGTGTCAAAACTCCCTGAAGGTACTTATTTAAAAACGGGCTAATTTTACTTGTCTTGCTTGAATTAGCCTAGTTTGCAGGTGGCAGCCCCCGTTTAACGCAAGTGAGCCGGTCCTCATCCTGTCTCCATGTCATCCTGGGCCAATGCTAAATCTGGCATTTGTTAGCATGACACTCAAGGCCAGTGCCCAAGTGCTGTGATGCTACGATTGTAGTAGACAGTAGTTGCTAATCTGCATCAAACAAACCTCAGTGCACCCGTTGACCTTATTAGTAATGTGAGTAAATTTTAGATCATACGTCTCCTTTCATGCAATTTATTTGCAGCAAGGTTTATTATTTTCTTTTCCACCAACCTGTGTGAAGAGCGCCCCCTGCAGCCCGGCTTGGTCTGTGGCCCGAACACGGAGCCGGTATGAGTCTTGGCTCTCTCGGTCCAGGGGTCTCTCCAGGACCACCACCCCGGACACGGGGTCGATGGAGAAGAAGCCGTTGGCCGAGTCCACCAGGGAGTAGACAATCGTCCGGTTGAGGCCTTGGTCCGGGTCAGTGGCCTGCAGTCGCGTGAGTAGCGTGTTGGGCGCGGCGTTCTCGTACACGCTGGTCACATAACGCGAGGAGGCGAAGGACGGCGCGTTGTCATTGACGTCCAGGAGCACCAGAGACACATCGCAGCGGCAGAAGAGACCGCCGCCGTCCGTGGCTTGGGCGATCAGCTTGTAAGCGGGACGGCTCTCACGGTCCAAGGGTGCCACTGTGCGAAGCTCGCCTTGAAAGACAAAAAGATAATTCTGTTTACCAAAACATTTTTTTTGAAATGTTGTCATCGACAACAAAGACAAGATGGAATGTTCAACCAATCTCTTTTTTTTGGGAATCTATCTTGGATGGTGCCACGTGAGATACCAGTGTTGGCATCCATGTAGAAGTCTTCCACGCCAATGCCAAAGAGCGAGTACTGGATCTCGGCGCTGGAGCCCGAGTCGATGTCGGACGCGCCTACCGTCAGCACGCCCTTGTTGGCCGCCACGTCCTCGGGAAACGAGGCGCTGTACACCGCCTGAGCAAATGCACGCACACACAAAGCACTATTATGCCAGCTGACAAAAGCTCACCCAAATGGTTTCCATTGACCACATCCCAAACTGGCCTCTGCGATGTCTCACACGCACACATACAATCTGCGGGCCTTTAGTGCATTGTCAACAGGTTTTGGCGTATTAGTTCACAAACTTTTTAAAGCCAATTTGAGGGCTTAAGATTCTAAGTGAGGAGTAGAAGAATCGAATGTGAGAACGGCAAAAAACATCCCCTGTCTGTACTGAAGCACATTGTTTACACAAATGAATGTCTTTTGCAGCACCAAGTTCCCCAGAGGAAGATTTGCATTGTGGGGGGTGGAGAGGGGATTGCATGGAGGTGAGGACTGATTAAATAAATGAACGGGAAACTAGAACGGCGCTCAGTGGAGCGTAACCCTCCGCCAAGGTCTTTCTATCCAAGTTTGGATAAGCACAAACTCAATCATACAATGTGAGGAAAAGCCTTTTTTTTTTTTGTCCTTTCTATTCAGTCATTGGCACCGATCCAAAATATTTTATGATGAATATGTGTACTTTTTGCGATGAGGGAATTGTTCTTTTCGCTCTCTCTATATGTATTTGACATTGCCTTATCTAAAAACAAATAAGACATGTCTATTACAAAAAGGGTCGTATTTACGACCAAAAAATATATGCATATAATTTCCTCATTTCATCGCATTCATATTTTCACTCTGGAGATAAAATTAGGAGTTGCTTTTTTAGTATTGAAAAAAAAATCTATACTATACAAAATTACATGAATTATGGAATTACTGTTTTGTTTTTTTTGTTTTTTACATGCTGGCCAGGTTATATTCAAATATCCCATATTTAAACCGTGACGGAGGTCGTGCCCTTTAGGCGTAACCTGAGTTACCTGGTTGCAGACGGGGCTGTTGTCGTTGGCGTCCATGACGGTGACCTCCACGGCCGCGCGGGCCACGTAGAGGCCGTCGCTGGCCGTCACGTTAAGCAGGTAGCGGTCCTGACGCTCGCGGTCCAGCGGCCCGCTCACGTACACCTTCCACTCGCCTTGCACCAGCGCCAGACCGAATACGCCGCCCACGTTCCCGCCTGATGAACAAGACAACTTAAAACGATCTTACAAAACTAACCCATACATTCATAAATCATCTTGTATCAACCAACATACAATTTAGAATCTTCCACCAACCTAACTTAAACTTTGCCCGAAACAGAAACGATAATAACTTTTAAGAATGTTCAGCAAAGCTTTTCATCACTCTTCTTCAAAAAGAAGCTAAAGGCACTGTAAGGTGTTTGAAAAACCCATCTTTTTAAAAGTCGCTCAGAAACCCCAAAGGCACTGAAGAACCATCAGCAAAGATAACGAAACATCTTCACAGAGTTAACGTGCGGCTTTCGTAAGCATTAAAGACTATTTGGAGTCGTTCTGACCTCAACTTTTTTTGTTGTAAACACCAAGGAAGACATCAGAGGAGAGCTGTCGGTGGTCGGAAAGCTTCAATCACGTCGCCGTGGAGACTAGGCGTACGCGGCATTTGGCGTGTGACCTTTGATTACAGCGCCTCCATTAGGCCGGCGGAGCGCGCTAAATGGCAGGAAAACAAGGTGGCGTGTTGACGACGCCCTTCATCCGGAATACGAAACACGTCTTGCCAAGAATAAGAAGTCTCACAAGGCTGCCGCGTCGGCTACGTCTTAATCCCAGGAAGGGTTTTAAACTCACTTCTCCTAATCCGAAAGAGTCCGTCTCGCTGCGGAATAACAATCGGGTCCACGAGAAATGGACGCCAACTCTAATGAGCCAACAAGAAAACACTTGGCGGCTGCAAATGAGGAAAAATTAGAAAAACTAAGCAATTTGAAAGGCTTTTGCATGATGGATTTTCACCGGAGATCAAACACAAATTGAACGTATTGGAGAAACATGAAGGCACTAAAGGACTAGAGCAAAGCATCCTAATATAGGACACGCTGAAAACATCTTGACATTTTATTTCACCAAAGGTTATGTCAAATCTCATTTTTGGATCTGGACGGCAAAAGAGCTTTTAGCTAATATTTTTTCTGTTTGCATTTTGAAAAATATATTAATCCCAACTGATCCATTATTTTTTTTACATTTTCAATATGATCTACGTATATTCTTTAGTAGCACTGTGTGGTCACGTTATGTGCAATTGAGCCTGCCACTCTGTACCTGTACGATATGAACAACGCTTGGCGGTTTACTCATCCGTGCGATGGCTTCTTCAGATAAAAAAATTTTAATTTTACACTCTGGATCCATCCCCTTACAAAAAAAAGTTGTAATCCTCCAGTGATTTTGAAGCTTTCATCTGGCAGTGTGTCACAGACTGGGAGAGCATGTCGTCAACAGCAAGTAGGAAACAATATTGGGATCTCCGCCAAAAGAAAGCATGAGACAGTGTGTGTAGGTCGATTCTTTCACACAGCGTTATTTTCTGCCGGAATTGTGGTTTTCGATCAGCTGGCAAGTCATCAAAATACCAAAATGCCACAAAAGCGAGTTGACGAACGCTGTACACAACTGTGTGTGCGTGCAGCGCGCGTGACCTCTCCCCGCCCCCCAAGATGGCCACCGTAGGGGAAAAAAAAAAAGACTTCTCAGAATGCATTACTCTGAACGGCGTGCAAGCAACCTATTTAACTTAGCGTAGCATAATGTTGCGTTCTTTACTGTAGTGCGAAAAGTTTTTGAAGCCTGCCTCACCGGTGATGTAGAAGCTGACCATGCGGTTCTGGTCGGTCCCATCGTCATCGCTGGTCTTGAGCACGGCCACCACCTCTCCGGGCGGGTCGCTCTCCTTCACGGCACCGCGAAACAGCTCCCGTTGAAAGCGCGGCGGGTTGTCGTTGACGTCCGACACGGCCACCGTGACGGCGGCACCGGACCGCAGCGAGCGCGATTCGCCCAGGTCGGACCCCACGACGCGGAAGCTGTAGCTGGAGCACGCCTCGTGGTCCATGGTGGCGGCGGTGGTGATCCAGCCCGTCTTGCTGTCGATGGAGAAAACGGAAGTGGCGGCCGACGGCCCCTCTGCCAGACTGTACATCACCTGCGCGGGGAAAGCCGAGGTGCATACAGTGGAACCTCGAGTTAGTAGGTCTGCTTGCTACCAAACTTTTGTTTTCATTTTCACCATACTTTCTATTTTCATGTCATTTCCTTGGCCATTTAAATATCCGTGGCATTTCGGAAAATAGGCAACCACACGTCAGTGACTCACCTGACCGTTGGAGCCCCAGTCGGGGTCCAGCGCTCGCACTTGGACTACCCTGGTGCCCACGGGCATGCCCTCCATCACTGTGGCCACATACGTGTCTGTCTCAAACACGGGCTCGTTGTCGTTCACGTCCATGACCTGCCGCGGTGCGCAGAAGAGCTTTCATTGGAATGCAGTCAATACAAGGAGGGATTGGTGACTTAACATATGAGTGATCAATCTCGAACATGAAAAAACAATCCTTTTCTTGCGATAACCCATTGAAAATCTATAGGGCTCTTGCCATAGCGCATTAAAGACCAACAGCGTTCTCGCCAGCGACCTTGACTTCCACGTCTACGCTGGTGATGGCCTCGATGAGGTCCCTGCGGGTGGCGGCGGCCACCTTGAAGCGGTAGACGGGGAAGCGCTCGTAGTCCAGCGCCTTGACCAGGCGGACCAGCCCCGTGTCGGCCTCCACCAGGAAAGTGCCGCCCCGGTTGCTGTCGACCGTCTCCCCGGCCACGGCGGAGAAGACGGCGCTCTGGCCCGGGCCCATGTAGACGGAGCCCAACGCAGTGCCGACTGGCGTGTCCTCGGGGACGGTGAAGGAGTACTGGGGCTGGCTGAAGGACGGGATGAAGGCGGCGGGGGGCACCACATGGATGAAGGCCGACACCAGCGAGTGTTTGGCCGGCGAGCCGCAGTCGGTGGCCTTGACGAAGAAGGACAGCACGGTGCCCTGGAGGTGGGACACCGAGCTCTTTGTCATCATCCAGCCGCTGTCCGACTCCACCTGCGCAACGGGGAACACGGTCAGCGGCGCCTTGGTAACAGTGAAAAAAATGACTTTCATTTCATTTCATTCATTCATCCATTTCATTTTCAAGACCGCGATCTCCTTCTCAGTCTGAATAATTGTGTGCATTCGTTAAAAACTGGAGCTGACCTCCAAGACGTCGACTAGGGACAAGCGCGCCTCGCTGTAGAGCGAGTAGACAATCCTGCCGTTAGCGCCGGCGTCGGGGTCACTGGCTTGGATCTGCGTGACCAGGGAGCCTTTGCCCACGTCGGCCTTGATGCTCATGCGGTACTCCACCGCCCGGAAGCGCGGCGCGTTGTCGTTCTCGTCCGCCAGCACCACTCGCACGGTGCAGAATGACGCCCGGCCTGGAAATCAACATATGGATCGATCCCATGTGAACTCATGCTGCAGTGGTAATGTGCTGAGAGTTGATTATCGGCAGACAAAGTGAACACATAATCAAGAAGCGCACTTTAACGCTGTTAAATAATCTCATTTTAGCAGAGGTGCCAAGATCCGATCATTTTCCAGTGGCTAAGGGTGCTACAATGATATATAAATAAAATTAATAATTGCCAAGAGTGTTTATTTACTCCGCTGCATATGGAGGGGGAGTCTTGGTGCACGACGATGTCATTTGACGATATCACATAATGTCATGAGGTCAATCTATGATGTCATGAGGTCACTACGACATCATTCTATAACACACTGTGATGTCACGCTGCAACATTCCTCGATGTTGCCACACCGTCAATGATGTCACGCTGTGATATTGTATGATGTCATGCTATGGTGTCATTTTATGATATCATTTCATGATATCTGTGTCACATGAAATCATTCAATGTGTCACCATGATTTCCACACTATAATAATAATAAGATATCATGCTGTGATGTCACAAATTGATGTCGCTGACACATACTGGAATGAACTGGACCTCCACTCAAAGTGGATCATCACCAGACAAGGTTTGGACGTGACGATGTTGATGAGCACGAAGACGCTGATGGTACCTCCTCCATCCAGTGCCATGACAGTGAGCAGGATGTCTTTGTTGAGAGGGTCCTCTCGGTCCAGCCTCTGCGCGGTCGTAATGAGACCGTCGGCGTCCACGGTGAAGCCAGCCTTCCCTAAGTCGTTGATGAAGGAATAGGTGATCTGGCCGAACAGACCCGAGTCCTCGTCGGTGGCGCGCACCTGCAACGCCGCCAACACACGTAGATCGAGCAGGCCACATGAAATAAGATGACGTCATCACGTGATTGTACCTGGATGACCTTTGAACCAGGCAGCGCATTCTCTGGGACCTCTGCCAGATAGAACCTCTGACTAAACACTGGACTGTACAGGTTGGCTCCTAACACATACACCACCACCTAGAAACCATCGCCACAATCACCAGCACAGTTGTTCCTCTGATTGCTATTCAAGAAGCGTTCACGCTTAACATAGGCAATTACAAAACAGCCGACGCGGCAAAAACGACGAGACCGAGCGTTCCACATGGCAGCTGCTCCCGTCAGTAAATCCGACGAGACGTGAACACGAATTAACCTCGGCGGACTCGGGTCGAGACGCTCGCCAAACGCCGGGCGTCCGTCCGCTAATTGAGCGAGCGGGTCGGGGTGGCGGCGTCACCTGAGCCGTGTTGGTGAAGACGCCGTCAGACACGGACACGTTGAGATGATACGACAGCTTCATGCCCTGTCGCCTCTTGTTAGACAGACGCAGAATGCCGCTTTCCGCCTCCATGGAGAACGTCATGCGCTCGTTACCAGACAGGATGCTGTACCTGGGGAAAGGATGAGGAGTTAACAACTCCCACTTGATACTTGCTCCACAAAAGATCATTTATATCACAAAAACAAGCGTGTTGACTTTTTAGACCCACTTGATCCACAAACTGACCTGAGCCTCTGGGCGTCGCCCATGTCGGCATCCGAGGCCTGAACGCAGGTGACAAAGTGTCCTCGCGGTGCCAGCTGGCTGACGAAGGCCTCGTACAGCATCTGGCTGAAGTCGGGCGGGTTGTCGTTGGTGTCGGCGACGCCCACTGTGACGCTGACGTCGCTGCTGAGCGCCGGCCTGCCGCCGTCCGTCGCACGCACCACGAAGTTGAAGCGCCGGGCGCGCTCGTAGTCCAGCAGCCGCGCTGTCAGGAGCAGGCCGCTGTCGCGCTCTACGTGGAAGTAGTCGCTGCTGTTGTGGATGTCCGGAACGATCTCGTAGCTCACCCTGGAGTTCTTATCCGAGTCTTGATCCTGAGCAAACACCTGCAATGAACCATTGATGACAGTTTTAATTAGCAAAATGACATTTGGTAGTCTGTCATGAGTAGACTCCCAGTCCCAAAGCCTATTTGACTTGAGTAACAAGATTTGGCAGACATGAGCATATCCACAAAAAAGTGTCAATAACCCATTGGTGAAAATACAGTAAATTGTCCATTTCAGTTGAAATGGCAGTTTTGGGCCTATTTTCCTTGTTTTTCCAGTGGTTCTTAAAAAAAACAAACCCAAAAAACCCCAACTTGGTCTGAGAGTTTTTGTCATATTTTAAATCCCCAATACTACGCAGTTGGTTGAAAAAAAATTGTGAAAATGTTTCATTTTGGTCATTGCATGTTCATGGAGCAGGGTGTTCATGTTTGATAACTGAACCAATGTTTTTAAAAACTTACCCTCTCAAGGCACTTTCTTTGAACAACATGAAATTTGACTTGCATGTCTATTCTGAGCAGACTCACAAAAAAAGGTCTGAAGAAAGTATGTCGAAAAAGTCACAGGAGATCTGCAAGTTTAGTTTGAAACAACCGTTTCAAGGGGTCCTCCAAAGACAAATTCCTTCCAGAGATTTCGTCAAATTGCTCTCAAACGTGAACCACATACAGTAGACGAATGAGTGATGCTAAAAAACTGAACTTGAATATAACGTCAACTCCACAATGTCAGACCTGACTAAACATCTTCGGTGTGATGACGGTCCTGCCGTGACGAGATTCAATGGCACCAACTACTGGACCGGCATAAATATATGGCTGTAATAACTCTGCCCCTGATATCTCCAAAAATCAATACAGTTCTTGCTTTGGCACTGGAGTATGATCCCGGATAGATCAGCAAAGATGAATCAGATTTTTAATGCAAGACCAAACGCCCAATAAATGCTCTCTGGTAACAACAACAGTAATAATGAGCTTTATTGCTGATGATTTATGACGGGATCCAATATAATTACACCGTCTCTGTGAGTCCAGACAGTTTAATTACACGTCGCCTTGTGCAAATGTTTCCACAGCGCCGCTCAATTATTCGGAAAAGGTCAGATACTTTCTCAGGGAACTTTCGGGGGAAATTTGCACAGATCCGCTTCGGAATAACGTGACGACTGATAAGCCGAGGTAATCGTCAATATTTTTGGGGAGATTAAAATTTTATTTTATTTTTTTCATAAAAAGTTGTATTTTTCAAGCTGATTTTAAGATAAAGTTGTATGCTTTATAAATAGTCATATTTCTAGAATAGTCTTCATTTACAAGAAAGGCCTTTAGGTATAGTTTTTTTTATATTACAGTATATTTTTCAAGATAAAAATCACATCACATCACAACATTAAATCATATGGAAAATAGACATTGTGCACCTGCAGGACACTAGTTCCGATCATGGCGTTCTCAGGAATCACGGCCGAGTACGCCGGCTTCCGGAAGGCGGGTGCGTTGTCGTTGACATCGAGCACCACCACGTCCACGTCCACCTCGGACCTGGCGCCCGTCAGCGCGTCGGTGGCCCTGGCCGTGAGGCGGTAGTATGGCGCCGTCTCGTAGTCCAGCGGGTAGAGCACGCTGATCGTGCCCGTGTCGAAGCCGATGTCGAACTGCAGTGATGGGTCGCCGCCAGCCAGGGTGAAGATGATGGGCTGCCCCATGGGGCTGCTGGCCTTGACGCTCAGCAGCGAGGTGGACGCGGCTACGTCCTCGGGCACGGTGATGCCGTAGAAGGGCTTGTCGAACAGCGGCATGGCTTTGTTCAGCACGTTGACAGGAAGCTCCACTTCAGCGGACAGACAGGGGGTGCCGCCGTCCGACGCCACGACCACCACCTTCAACTCGCCGTTGGACAGGTCGGCTTCGAAGGCTCGCTTGAGTGTCAGCTCACCCGTCAATGGGTTCACCTGCACGGTAAGAGTAAAGGTTACTTACAGTGACCCGACGCGAGCAAAAATCCTAAAATCCTCTTTTCAAGGTCATTTCTATTTATACCGGAGCTTGGTTGAGTGACTGTACTGTACTGCATCTTAAAGAGACTGCCACTGAAGATCAGACTCCTACCTGAAAGTTCCTGTGCGGGTCCTTGAGGCGGTAGGTCACCTGAGAGTTCACGCCCAAGTCACGGTCGGTGGCGGTTACCGTGAAAATGGATGATCCGGGTTCTGCTTCCACCCGCACCGTCGCGTAGTACGGGAGGTTGACGAACTCGGGGGCGTTGTCGTTGTCGTCCTCAACCTGGGAAGAGACAAAATGAGCAGAAAGCTTGATATTGGTTTAGTTGTTGAGACTTTTTTGTGGATCTGCGCATGACAGGCATGCTCACTAAACTTCACGTTGCTAAGTGATACTGATTTCAGGGGCTGGATTTTCAAAATGGTTGACTTGGTGTGTCTTTTCAGGCATGGCTTCTTGAGACTTTTTTGCGTGTCTATTCATGATAGATCTGCATACCAAATTTCATGTTCCGAATAGAAACTGGCTTCAGGGGCTGATTTTTTTTTCTTCGCAAACTTGGTGAACCAGGAACGGTTTCTTGAAATTTTTTGTGGGAAAGGCTGAGATTTTAGCCTCACCTGTACTGTGACCTTGACTCTGGCCACTTTCAGTACTTCCTCCTCCCTACGGACCTCCACCACCAGTTCGTAGCTGTCCCGTTCCTCACGGTCAAACGGGATGCCGACGGTGAGCAAAGCCCCGCAGGTGGGCCTCACAGTGAAGAGCCCCCCGGGGTTGAGCAGTGTGAATTTCAGTGGCTCGTTGAGGCGCTGGCCAGCGGCGTTGACCACAGCCAGGACGCTCACGTTGCTGGTGTTTTCTTGAACGGTGGCGGCGTAAAACGGGGCGGCAAAGGATAAACCGCTGTTGATGGCTTGGCGGACCAGTACAGTGACCAACGCCACGCTGGAGAAACGACCATCCCAAACCTGCAGCACGGAAGCAGGGACAAGCAGAGCGTGTTCACGGCCATTTTGTAGCCGTTAGCTTGTGGCAAATGAGCTGTCGATTGGCCGACCTTCACGTTGAATCGATAACGGTCCTTGCTGAGGTTCTGATTGATGACCGTCACCACGCCGTTGCTGCGCTCCACCGAGAAGTGTTCCAGGTTGCGGTCCACCAGAGAGTAGACCAGTTGGGGGGTCTTGTTGTCTGGGTGCGAAATGACGTCGGGATCGAAGGCTTCCACACGGAGGACCTCCACTCCAGGGTAGGTGGGCAGTAAGAGGATGCTCTCGTACATGTCTTGTGAGAATCTTGGCGGCGAGTCGTTGATGTTGATCACCTGAAATTCATAAACCAGTGAGAGTTAATTGGCTCAAAGACGACAAACAAGTAAACAAAGGGCCACCGACCTTAATGAGCACCTCGGCAGGACTGTCGGCACTTTTAGGCGGCTGTCCACTGTCTCGGACGTGAACCCTGAAGGCAAACTCGGGGAAGGTCTCATAATCCACACTGGCAATCGTCCTGAGAGACAAGATGACAATCAAGTGCAAGGATTGGACGGTTTTGTTCAACTCTGACCTTGTGCAGTTGACTTTGCTGTCTGATGACACGTTTTTTTTTTCTGTCAAGTATGTGTGGCTCATAATTGGGTGTTTTACACAAAATGTTAGACAGGCCCAACCGAATTTGTGTAGACAAATTAAACTGGCATTGGGGTCTGAATTTTCGAAAACCCGGCACCAACCTGATGGATCCGGTCCCAGGGTCCACGCTGAAGAACATGCGAGCAGTCTCGTCTATGATCTGGAACACCAGCAAGGCATTGTGATTGCGGTCGGCGTCCGTCGCCCGGATGACGAGTGGGTTGCCGTCATCTCCGAGGACTACGCTGTTCACCGGCGCCGCCTCGCTGATGGACCCCGCGTACCTGCCGCGGGAGTTCCGACAGCGGAGTCAGGACCTACGGTCTACACCGTGCCCAGAGGGTTTTGATACCTTAATTGCTGGAAGATGGGAGCGTTGTCGTTGACGTCGCCCACTTGAACGACAACTGCGGCGCTAGTCTCTGTGCCCGCCATGCTGGAGGCGCGGACCATCAAGAAGTAGGATGCCGTTTTCTGACCAAATCAAAGAAAAAGGACAAACACCACACATGATTTTTTTTTTAAAACTCAGGATTGGTAACAGATCCGATCATATCACCTAAAAAAAAACCATACACAATTTTCCACCCAAGCAATGTTTGAGATTCAAATTTGTGATCAATTAAACCTTGGAAGGCTCCATGGAAAATGATCATTTTTCCTCTGTATCACCTTGCAGTGTTGTATTTTGAGTTAGTTAACCGACATGAATGAACTGACCTCAAAGTCAAAGCGTTTGCGTGTGCTGATGACCCCCGTGTGGTGATTAATGAAGAAGCACTTTTCCTCATTGCCCCTGGTGATGTCATAAACGAGTGCGGAGCGGCTCAGGGCGCTCACTGTGATTACATGAGCTCCGGCCGTGCTGTTTTCCATGATCTGCAAAAAAAAAAAACCATCAATAAGTTATCATTTTCCGGGTCCCCCAGATCTCTCCCCGCTTTACCTCGGCCTGGTACTCCTTCTGAGAGAATTTGGGTGTGGATAAATCGGAGAGCGTCAAGGATACGCGAGCAGAAGCAGTGGCCGTTAGTGGTGGAAAACCGCCATCCGTGACTCGCACGGTGAGCGTGTAAGAGCCTACAGAAGTGATGTCCAGGTCCTTGGCGATGAAGATGATGCCCGTGTTGTTGTTAATGCTGAACACGCCGCCTGTGTTGCCTGAGGAATGACACAACCACACGGAAAACGTGCGTGAATTTAAATGAGACTAACTTGCTTTTGAAATTTTGACTGCTTCCTACCTTATACTAAACACACATGCAAATTGTGAAAGGTAAATTGTAAAAGCCTTTGCTTTGCCCCAGCTTTTTTTTTTTTTTTGCTGCACACAGTTCCTGAAATTTATACTGGAAAATGTACTGTGTTGGTATAAAATTGCAGCTAAATTAAATGAAGCAACGACTTATTCTTATTTAATTATTCTTTTTTTAATTCATTCCCAGAAACCTGTTTTTCTTAGGAACCCAAAATTTGGTTGACATGTCTATCATCAGAAGACCCACAGAAAAAGCAACGATGCTTGAAAACACACATGAAGTCGGCCATTTTGGTTCAAAATGGTTATTTCAGACTCATTGTGACCATTTTCCAGGAGTCCTTCCAAACTTCGCATTAATCAGTAGCCAAGTAGGAGCTCTTGGTTTCAAAAAGGTTGGAGACCCCTGTCCGAGAGATTTTGTTTCATGACTACTAACTTGGAAACCGGAGGTCTGCCATTTTATTTTAAGGCCCACAATGGGTAGATTTGAACTTCATATATCTGAACCCCCAAAAAGTAAACAAAAAGTAATCCCAACCTGCTTGTATGGTGTAAGTGAGTTGCCCGTTAATCCCATTGTCCTTATCCAGTGCCATGACTTGCAGGACCGCGGTACCAACGGGAGAAGATTCATAGGCGACAGCATCGTAAACTGTGCTAGTGAAGTAGGGAACGTTGTCGTTTGCATCCTCCACTGCCACCAGGATCCGAGCCAAGTCCCGGTTGAATGGGAACTCCTGGTCCTTGACCTGAAGAGCGAGAGCGCACCACAAGGTATGGCCATCGAGATCAAATCAGTGACGCGAAGAATGCTAGCAAGAGCTCACCATGACGGTGAGGATGTGCTGCGTGTGGGCCTCGTAATCCAGCCGGTCGGCCGTGTAGACTGCCCCTGTGCCCGGGTTGACCCGGAACAACCGCATGCTAGCCGGGTCCACGCTGCCGTAGATGGAGAAACTGAGACGGCTGCGCTCGTCCATGTCCGACGCCCGCAGGCGCAGCAGCTCCGTGTCCACCGCCGCTTCCTCGGAAACGCTGACGTCGTAGGCCGGCTGCGAGAACACTGGAGGGTTGTCATTGCTGTCCTGGACCCGGATGAACACCTGACACGGCACAGCCACATATTGAAATATAAATACATTATTTTCCGTTTCAAGACATTCTTCAAAAGTAAACTTGTCCTTGAGATTTTTTCCAATTGTGAGACAATTTCAAACTTCTGACGAGACAGATGGGCAATGCTGTGTTAAAAAATATTTTTGTATTTGTAATTGTGTGTGAGCTGTGCATGGCAGCAAAGTCTGATTATTTGCCAAAAAACTCAATTCCACAACATCAAACATGGTTAAAAAAAAAAAAATCTGTCCCTGGAGCCAGTTTGGCTAAGGAATATGACATTTTGTGGGGGTGTCGATCACGAGCAGACTCAAAAAAAAAAAAAAAAAAAAGTAATTTCTGTTGCGGTCGTATAAATCATATTCTTCGTTCCTTCATCAGATGTTGTTCACAGCTCAATAATATTTTGACAAATTAATGTGCAATATGTGTGTGTGTGTGTGTGTGTGTATATGTATGTGAGTGGGGTGGGGTGGGGGATGTACCTGTGTGGTGGCAACAGCGTTGCCATCCGTCACCTGCACCGTCATGTTGTAAATGGCCTGCACTTCGGTGTCCAGCGGTCTGGCCACTACCAGGGTGCCCACGCCCACTTGGAGGTCAAATTGCATATCGAAGCTACCTGCGTCCACATGCACGCACACACACACGCACACACACACATATATCTATATAAGCATGTTAGCATTCGCATCTCGATCTCACCCTGCAATTATTGTGGCCATCTGGGCCGGATGGCTGAACGCAGTAAAATGAAGTGAAACGCGACAACGAGCCGTTAGCGTTCTCTCCAGCATCTGCCTTATCGCTCGCCAAACACCAGCCACCTCGTGGCCCAGGCCAGTGTACAGTTTATAGGCTTAATGTTATTCAACGCCATCCTCGCTCTCATCCCTGAACATATCTGAGGGCTGCGGCTTCATGCGCCACCACATGAATACTGATTCCCTCTGCAGGGATTGGCTTACTTTTTTTGGGGGGTTCTTGTTGATGCTGTTTCCCCCCCGCCTCTAGGAGAAGATGGTCAATATTACGCTCAGGGTTTAGCTGTCTTGCAGCATTACCAAAAAGAGATATCATCTCAAGTCGAAAAGGCTTCAAAGGCTTTTGACTCCGAGCAGCACAAATGTGAGGCAACTGTCAGAAACGACGCTCGGATGACTCTTCACAGTGCAACGGTCTTGGGCTGTGAAGAGCAGCTCACAAGTAGTCGAAGTTGGTAAGACATCTGTGAAGCAGTTCTCAGAACCGCTGCTCATGCAACTAACAATTAGATGGTGGGCTCCATGCAACACGTGTGAAGCAGTTTCGATCCTATTTTTCAACAGCCTGTTCCTCATTTCGGTTCATTTTGTGTAAAGAAAAAACATTTTTTTTCCCGTTTTGATTCGGAATATAGTATACTGATATTGTGTCATAGGCTCTGCCGTTCGCAGCACTAATGCATTCACACGCTGTCAGAGTGCATGGATGTTTCTTCCAAAAGAGATCAATCCATACAGCCGTTGGCTAAGCACAGGCTGCTGTGCTGAACTTATCATTTTGTTTCGTCCCATTTTATTTATTTTTATTATTATTATTATTATTATAAAGTGGCTCATTTGCTTTTTACCTTACCTGTGTCGAGAGAGCAGTTCCTCCCACACGCGTTCTGCGGAATGTAGAACATTTCTCTGGCCACGCGTCCTCCTGCACGCGGAGACCAACACCAATTAAAAAGGAAATAAATGGACTGAAGCATTGAGACGCCTACGGGAAGTGAAATGTGAAGAAGATGGAGAGTTTCTACATGATGATTGAGGGATTTTTCAAATATTTGCAAAGTCAGATAGGACGCAAGTGCGGCAAATGTGGGCAAAGCACGGCCCGTGGGTCAAATGCATCCCATCCGGTTGTTGAATTAGACCCACCAATCATTTACATTAACCTGTAATATGCGTTGACTTAATTTTGATGTACCGCCACCTCAACCCTGAAGTTGTTAGCAAATAATTTCTTCCCAAAGCAGCTCCCACAAATTCAGCCGCCTCCAATTGTACAAAATGTCCAAATGCTTCTCTGTCCTTGTAGTGCACTAACAGCAACTTTATAAGCGCGACCATCATGTCATGACACACTAGATAAGATAAGATAAGAAAACCTTTATTAGTCTCGCAATGGAGAAATTCCCAATTCACAGCAGCAAAGTTATGAATGGAAGTAGTAGAATATAGCTGGGTCTGATAAGTTCTAATCACAAGATTGTGGCCACTGAAGTATGAAAGATGCAAGCAACGATTCTAATGGCGTTTCCTCTGCGCCAGACGAGTATTAATCACTTCATTTTTAATTAATGCGTCGGCATGGTGGTGTTGATTGTTCTGAACAACAACTGCAGCAGTCGAGAACAACCGGCACAGTGAAAGGTCATCAAAATCAATTACATGTTGTCACTAGCACAGATTGAACAAATAAATAAATAATATCGCACAGCAGTGTTTGTGTACGTCCAAATAGAAAGCATTATCGATGCTGGCGGGCTGCAACCCGATGTTGCTTTGATAAAAACGGTCAGAGTATTTTCCGTCATTCACTCTTCCGAGTGGCCTCACCCATGATGTTGAACCAAACTGGGGTGTTGGACTGGCTCACGGCGACCACTCCCACGGGCTGAGCCACAGAGGCCGTCTCGGGCACAGAGAAGTTGTAGCAGCGCTGGGTGAACAGCAGGGGCAGCGGCGAGGGCGCAGGCCTGCCGATCCACTCCACGTGAAGCTTGACCGTGGACCACAGCGGCGGGTCACCGCCATCCTCCGCTTTGATCTGACACAGGAAATGATGTCATGAGTGGGTGGATTCTACCACTGAGTCACTGCATTTAATAAGGCAAAAGGGCGAGAGATATGCCTACCTAATTTCATGTTCCTAAACGTAAACTGGCGGCAGGGCTGAATCGTCAAAACCATGTTTCAGTTTTATGAAAAAAGCTCTACGAGAAGATTGTGTTTGAAGAGCCTTTCGAAAATCCTCAAGAAAATAGTTTGGCTTCGGCGGAGGTCTGCGCTCCACCGAGGCGCAGCGTTGCATTGACCAATCGGAGAAGAAATAAAGCTTAACGTCTGCAGCAAAGTGGTCTCAAAAGAAGAAAATCGAGTCATTTATTACGATGACATCGGTTTGTAAATGAAGGCCCCAAATAAGCTTTGTGTTGCCGTGATTGAGTGCGAGAAAACTGAAATAAAAAAGCAATTCCATCTGTGCGTGAGCAAATTTATCTTTGCCAACTCATAAAAATGCATAGGGATGGTAAAATATGGATTTATGCCGGATGAAAAATGGTCAAAAAAAAAAGCAAGGCCGACCGACCGTGAGGACATGGTGGGTGCCGGCCGCCACCGCCTTCTTGGACACCACCATGGCGGTGCGCGGATCCACACTGAAGGTCTCGTCCTGGTTGCCGTCCACAATGCTGTAGCTGACGTTGGCGTTGACGCCCAGGTCGCGGTCGTGCGCGAAGACCCGGTAGACGGGCTCGCCGCGTCGATTGCGGTCGCGCTCAGGCAGCCGGATGCGGTAGGTGACCTCAGGGAAGACGGGCGGGTTGTCGTTCTCGTCCTCCACGTGGACCATGACCCACACGGTGGACTGGCGGGTTGTCACCGGCCCGTCGATGACCGTCACCTAGGAAACGGACACGGTTGCGTGAGTGCGAGCGGGTGGAATATTTTGGTGTGCTTTTCGCGGACGCACGTCGGCGGCGATGAGGAGTCGAGCTCATGGGAAATCTCTTTGTATTAGCGAGGCCTGCGGTGGAGGCAAAGGTCTCATCACAACATCGATTGGATCACATCACGAGTGTGAGCCGCCCGACTGCTGACTGGACTCTTAATTATACTCCGTGTTGGGCAAAGCCGCACACAGCAACACTCGCACTGCAGGTCTTAGATAGAGAGCCCGTTCCCGATTGTCTATTTCCATTCACTGTCGAGTGAGCGCGCAGAGTTTGAAGGAAGTCGGAGCTCTTACGATAAGTTTCATCTTTTGAATGACCCCTGGACATCGCCAAAATAAGACAAATACTGTATGTCCGTTTCAAACTCAAATGGCAGCCTTCCTGTATCTTTACGGGTATATTTTCTTTTTTGTGGGTCGACTGGTGATAGACACGGCTGCCAAATTTCTGATTCCGGAGGTAAACTGAAATTGGGGGCTGAATTTTCAAAAACAAGTAATCCAAGTGACACTCATCCAACTTCACTGCCATGCTTTTTCTTTCCAAATGCGAAAAAAATGTATATACTGTACGTTTTAAAAAAAGGGGTGTGGTGACATGTTTGAAGACAAGACTTCAAACCTTACCATCATGCTTTGCATTGCCTTGGTCCCCAGATTTCACAAATCTTTTGGACTTGGCTTTTTGATCATTTTTGTTTTGCGATCGTTTTGCGGCAACTAACTTCAGGGGAAGAATTTTTTTGGGAATGTTCGAGTTTGATGGTGAGTCATCGAATATTTCCGCCATTTTCTCCAGACTTATTGAGTCTGGATTTCGCAATCTTTTTTTTTTTTTTTTCAATCCCTAATCTTATGATGTATACGTACAGTATGTCAACCAGATTTCACGTCACTCCGAGAATCAAGCTCCAGGGGGTGGATTTTGAAAACGTTCCTTGCTGTACTAACGACGTAAAGTTGTCTTTGCAAAGGCAGATTTATTGTTCCAGCTCTTGTATTGGATCTCATTGAATTGCCTCCCAAATGAAGTGAGCGTATATGATTTCATTGTCTTCCCCAGTGTCCTCTCACCGTGCACCGAGGCTGACAGATAAACATCTCGGGAGGGGTCACTCGGGAGGGGGAGGGTTATTTCATTTCATTGCGGCAGTTAATAAATTGCGTGCAAAGTCTCAGCAGGGGCGAAGTTTTCCCAGTAAAGTGGAGACGGTGCGATTATCCGCTTCATCTGCATGCAGCGCGGCCAGCGCAAATGCTAATCACAACGTTATCTGGACGCCCAGTGTCTGCACTTATCTAACACTCACACACTTTCACGCACACGTACACACGCGCGCGCACACACACACATACACACACGCACACACAAACACAAAAAGTCCTCCCCAGGCCCAGCCAAGGAGATAACCAATGATGAACGATTACATTTAAGAAATCCCCACGCCCGGGCCCCAAACCGGAGGCATTCATCAGCGTCTGAGGGAGGGGGCCTTGAGGGGCCTGGTGTCTGGCTCATCCTCCAGCCGGTCTGCGGTGCTTGCGCCGTGGCAGGTGGCGACTAAAGATAAACAAACCGGCGGACCCCAGAGTCCCCCGCGCCGGTCGTACGTAGGTACCTCCAGGAAGTGTTCCGACTGCTGCTCTCGGTCCAGCTTCCTTGCCGTCGTGGTGATCAAGCCTGGAGGCATAAAGACAGAAGAGAGTCTTGATAATAGGCTGTCATTGAACGGCATAATCGCATTAACTGTCGATATATTTGACTCAAGTGCAGTAATATTACAGCAGAGTGAGTCCGCGCATTAGCATTGTAGGGGTGTGCCATACGTAAGTATGAGATTTACATCCTAATCCGTCTCAAAAATCTAATCAAGTCTGTCTGGGCACTACGTTGATCCCAGCTTCACTTTCAGACATATTTCGGAGTGTCTTTGTGTGAATGAATATGCATTAAAAATTCAATCATGAAATACACCCGAGTTAAATAACACTGCACTATAATGAATGCCAATTCATTGACTTGATGGCAGAGGAATTAAAGGACAAGGATGAGGACCGTTTGAAGTGTGTGCGTGCGCGCGCCGAGGTGTGCGTGTTATGAGGTGGAACGCGGACCGTTTCAATCACACACATACACACTCATACGGAAGCCTCACCTTGAGCGGATCATCTCACACGTGCGCGCGCGCTTGCACGGCAACACAAAAAAAACCACCTCCACTCACTTATACACAACCAGCATGCAAATAATGACATCATATGTACACACGCACTCGCTTGATCATTTTTGTACCATCATTCAGAAATGTCATATTTGCACATTGTATAACTAAGTAGTTGTGATTCATCCCACCAAGAAAGGTCTATTAAAAAAAAAAAAAAGTCACGCAGCCAGCGAGGACAAACAGTGGTAGCTTATTCCTATGCCTTGGACCTTATGTCAACACTCATCTCTTGTGTTTGCTCCCCCGCCAAGCACGAAAACGAGGAGGAGGATGAGTGAAGGGAGGGAGGGTGGTGTGAGGTGAGGGGGGGTTAAGTGGTTTCGGGGTGGTAGTGGTGTTCTGGGGTGGGGGGGGGGGG